GAGAGAGAGAGAGAGAGAGAGAGAGAGAGAGAGAGAGAGAGAGAGAGAGAGAGAGATGAGCAATCCAAGATTGGCTGTTACTTACCTGTGAAGCGAGTTGCGCAGTCCGGCGGAGGAGGAAGATAGCGGCCATAGCCGCGGAGTATCCACATAGAGTACCGGAGGAGAGAGAAAGGGAGGACAGAGAAGGAGGGACTAAGGAGGAGAGAGAGAGAAGTGTGGAAGGAGGAGATTGAAGAAGAAGACAGACATAGCCGGGGGTGAACAAAAAAAAAAAAAAAATAGAGAAGAAGAAAGAAGGTGAAGGAAGGGGAAGTAGACGGCGAGGGTGACGAAGGTGAAGGTGCCGGCAGCCATAGCCGAGGTGAAGGGTTGACCGGGCGTTGACCGGAGCGTTGACCAGAGGGTTGACCAAAGGTTGACCAGGCGTTGACCGGGGGTGTTGACCAAGCGTTGATTGGGGATTGCCCGCATTGACTCGACGTTGACCAAGGCGTTGACCGGAGCTGCTGCTGACCAAGATTTCGACCAAGCTGGAGTTGGTGATATCTCGTTGACCCCTCAGCCTATCCCCTTACCCTGTGGATGTGCACACCCCTACGGTACTTGCTGAGTTGAGTCTGTCTGTCTTCCTTTCTGCATTGAGTCTCTTCTGTCCTAGGTGTTAGGACTCTGTGGATGAAGGATAGGGCCTTGCTGCCAAACCTGCACGGGATTTAGTAGGACTAAGCTCTACTCTGACACCTGGAGACTTGGGCATGAGCGGCGAGCGCTTGTTAAACAACTCGTCTAGCCCAATGACCGGTACTGTCCGGCAGGTCTACCGAGTTCAGTGTAGAGGGTCCGAACTCCGAGCTGTGGGCTGAAACGAAGGCCGTCTTTAAGTGTTGAGGCCTGGTTGAACCACTCCCCTACCGGACCTAGTAAGGCTGATGATCTGTGTCTGGCGACTCGACTGTCCCGAGGGATACGAACCCGTCCAAGGACCGGTACAGACCGGCGGGCTGCTCGGTGTGGCACAGTAGGCCAGAACGGCTGAGTTGTGGGCTGAAATCGCCAGGAAGAACTACACTGATCACGTCGTCCTGACTGCGACGTTAAAGAATTCTTGAGGAGTTTGGGGGATCTCCTTAAATGCCTCCTGATCAGCTGTTAGTTCAGTAGTGACAGCCTTAGAGTAGTTGTGAGTAGTGGATCTTAGAGAGTTAGTCAGTAGGTCAGTGTGTCCGGGTAGGTCTAAGTGGTGAGGAGTGGGACATTGTCGTGCCCCTGACGCCACGATGGATGACTATCCGATGTATGGGTTGCTGGTTGGGTTCTCTCTCTGGGGGACCCTCTGGCGGCCATTTTGCAGGAGAGAAAGGAGAAGGAGGCCAAGAAGAAGGCCTCGGAGGAGCAGGCGGCCAAACTAAAGAAAATGGAAGAAGAGATGGCCAGAGAGAATGAGAGAATCATGAAGGAAGAGGAGGCGAAGTTGAAAGAGGTGGACGAGGAAGAGGAGGAAGGACCACCACTGCAAAGGAGGAGTGGGCAACATAGTGGCAGCAGCGGTGATGAGATGGAGAAGAAGATTTCGGAGTGGGTCGCCAATTTATCCCTGGGCGAGGAAGAAGAGGTGATGATGTACATCCCAAAGGATGACCAAGAGGCTGCCATGAAGGCTTGGGATGCAGAGAAAGACCCTCTTAGGCGACAGGCACTGGAGGATCAACAGAGGATGGAGTGGAAACTTGCCATGATGAGGGACAAGAAGAGAAGGGTGGATGCGGCGAGTGAAGCGGTCAAGGAGTTGGAGGAGGTGCAAAAACTAACCCTGCGATTGACCCCTCAGGTAGATCTCCAACAAAAGGTGGAGATAATCGCCCAGAGCGTCGAGCGTTTAGCCAGGGTACAAGAACAACAATATGAGCTTAGTCGCAGCCAGGATATAGCTGTGTGTTCGATGCGACTGGGATTTCGGGACTTTGCCCGTGAATTAATAGGCGCAGTAGGAGCCGAGGTGAATCATCGCCTCGAGAAGACTGAGCGCTTTTGTGTCGGCGCCATTGAGGGCGTCAAGGTGGCAGCTCCCAGGGAGGAAGAAGCATGTCCGCGTAGGGAGCCGGTCAAAGTCAAATTCCCTGACTCCTACAGTGGAAAAAGGGAAGACAACTTTGACAATTGGGAGGCCAATGTCAAGACCTACGTGCATCTGCAATAGGTCTCCCCGGATCAGCATGTTTTAATTGCGATCCACGCGCTGAAAGATGAGGCCGCCAACTTTGCAAGGTCCCTAGTTCGCTCCGCTAATTGCAATGAGGATCCTGTTGCCAACTCGTCGTTCACCTCCCTCACTGAGTTTATGAAATTGCTACGCGAGCGATTTGCTGACGTTGCCCGTAGTGTCAAAGCCTCAGATAGGCTTCAGACAATACACTCGCGCCAATGGAAGAGTGCAAGGGCACTCAAGGGCACGATGGATGAGTTAGTGGCTGTTCCTGACCACAAGGTCACAGAGACCCAGTTGGTCAACCTCTTCTACCGGGCTATGCCCGAAGCGCTGCGTGGCCACTTCTTCGCGACGAGTCAGGACCCTGCTATGACTTACGATGCACTTAGCAGGGAAGTGGTCGCGTTTGAGGCGAAGTCTGCGTCGATTTCCACTTTCTGGCACAAAGATTTAGACAAGGGCAAAAAGTGGAAGGGCCACACTATCTCAGGGCAGGTCAAGACTAAGGATAGTCTTGTGCTTACTTTAGATGAAGGTAGTGTGGATGAAATCCCCTACGATCAGATTGAGTGGGGGTTAGAGGAAGAGGACAGCGGTGTGGGCCAGGGGAGGACTTACGCTGCTGTCGCGGCCGGAGGGAGGCCGCAAGGAGGAGGACGAGGCCAGGGCCAAGGGGGCCGGGCCTCAGGGAGCCGGTTTCAGGGCGATCGGGGGTTGGCGGCAGAGGAGGAAACCGCCAAGCGGGAGGCAGGGGTCAAGGTCCCCCGCAAAACCGTCATAGGAATAGGTCTCCCTACAGGGTAGGAGGATGGCACCCGGGGCTACCGCAGGGTAGGCCTTGGGAAACTTTGGGTCTGGACCAGACTTTATGGCAACAACGATTGGACCGGGGCCAGTGCATCTTTTGCGGTGACCCGGGCCATATCATCAAATACTGTCCTAAGTACCGCGAGACCCGAACGGTTGCTCAAGGGCCAAAAGGCAGCCGCCGATAGGGGTAGCAACTGCCCCTACCATTAGGCCATGTGGGGAATATAGCGCTAGCCGGCAGGAGACTCCCACACCACATGTGCCTATGGCAGAGGTTGCAGGCCGGTGTCTAGATAGCTGCCCAAAGACTGCTTGTGTCAGAGTCTCTCTGGACACCTCCCTCATAGGCGTGGCCGAAGAGTTGAAGGAGAGGAGGCCCGCCTGGGCCAAGATGAAGAAGGAGAGTAAAGGGCAGCTGATCTTATTAGATACAGAGATTTTTAGAAGTAGAGTAGGGGCCCTAGTAGACTCAGGGGCCACCCGCAGCTATATTAGTAAGAAAGCGCTGCAAAAGTTGAGGCTGGGACTTAAAGTCCAGAAACTGACAGACCCCATAGTTAGTATCCTCACGAACAATCGTACCATGGTTGTAGAGGATTTCGTAGAGGGAGTCGAGGCGTATTTCCGCCTAGAGAAAGATGGGAAAGTGGAGAAGGTTCTCCACTCCCTGACTCTCCTCGTAGAAGACAGTCTCCCATTTGACATTGTTCTGGGAATGGATTGGGGAGAAGCAGCCGGGGCCACGCTCCATTTGAAGGAGCACGAGTGTAGGCTCCCTAGTTCTTCAGGCGAGGCCAAGATTGCCCGCCTGTTCCATGTGTCCGGAGTGGAGAATCCCTTGGCACATTGCTGCCTTAGTGCCCCTGCGTTCGCCAGGTTCGTAAAGAAGGAGAAATTGGAGGAACAGGTTTTTGTTGCCTATGTTAGGCCAGTGACTGAGCCTACGGAAGAAAAGCCGATGGACCCTGCGATTGCCAAGCTGCTGGAAGAGTTCAAGGATCTAACTGAGCCGCCGATAGGAGTAGTACTGCGGCCCATCCAGCACCGCATTGAGATAGAGCCTGGCAGTAGAACTCCTAAGGGCGTTGTGTATAGGATGTCCCCACGGGAGTTAGAGGAGCTTCGCAAGCAATTAGACGAGCTCCTCGAGAAGGGTTGGATTAGGCCCAGTTCGTCTCCTTTCGGAGCGCCTGTTCTCTTTGTTCCTAAGAAAGAGGGAGAGCTGAGAATGTGCATAGACTATAGGGGTCTGAATGCTATTACAGTGAAGAATGCTAAGCCACTGCCTAGGATAGACGATCTCTTAGATCGAGTGCAGGGGGCCAAGTATTTCTCTCTACCATCAGATAGAAGTACATCCTGATGATCAATATAAGATAGCCTTCCGGACTAGGTACGGGCATTATGAGTTTATAGTGATGCCCTTTGGACTAACCAATGCGCCAGCTACATTCCAGCGCTGTATGAACGATTTGTTTAGGCCGTGGTTAGACAAATTTGTTGTAGTTTACCTAGATGACATTCTAGTGTTTAGCCGGACCCTCGAAGAGCATCAGGGTCATCTCAGGCAGGTCTTGGAGAAGCTGAGGGAAGCCAACTTCAAGATCAATGCAAAGAAGTGCGATTGGGCGAAAACCCAAGTTTTGTACTTAGGCCACGGCTTAGACGGAGACGGCGTTAAGCCAGAGGATAGCAAGATCGCAGCGATTAGAGATTGGCCCACGCCACGTACGCTGACAGAGTTGCGCTCGTTCCTGGGCTTAGCTAATTACTACCGGAAGTTCGTGAGGAACTTCTCCACCATCGCTGCGCCCCTTTGCAGATTGTTGAGGAAGGAGACCATCTGGAAGTGGGATAAGGACTGTACGTCTGCCATGAAGAAGCTAAAGCAGGCATTGATAGAGTACCCAGTCCTTAAAGTCGCCGATCCGTCCTTGCCCTTCGTCGTCACGACCGATGCGAGTCAATACGGCATAGGCGCAGTGTTACAACAAGACGATGGCAATGGGCATAGACCCGTAGAGTTCATGTCCGCCAGAATGCCTTCAGAGAAGGTCGCGACATCTACCTATGAGAGGGAACTCTACGCTCTCAGGCAAGCCTTAGATCACTGGAAGCACTACTTGCTTGGGAGACACTTCAAAGTCTATTCTGACCATGAAACGTTACGATGGTTAAAGACGCAGGCCAAGATGACACCTAAGCTTACTAGGTGGGCCGCAGAGATAGATCAGTACGACTTCGAGCTCAAGCCTGTCAAAGGAAAGTACAACGTAGTCGCGGATGCTCTGAGTAGAAGAGCTGATTATTTTGGGGCAATAGTACATTACCTCGATATAGGGAAGGATCTGCAACAGAAGGTCAGAGAGGCCTACGCGCAGGACCCTATCTACAGTGACCTCCTTAAGAAAGTCAAAGAGGCCTCAGAGACTGAACCGAACTACCGCACTACCGAAGGGTTGCTTTTTGAGAAGACTAATGTTTTTGACCACCTGTGCATTCCCAGTAATGAAGAGATCCGTAGTCTGATTTTGGGAGAATGTCACGATACAGAGGGTCATTTTGGTTGGCAAAAGACTTTACCCAATCTGATGCGCGCATATACCTGGCCAGGAATGAAGAATGACTGCGTAGAGTATGTTCGCAGTTGCAAAGTGTGCCAACGTAATAAGAGTTCTACGCGCGCCCCGCTAGGTCTTCTCAGACCCTTGCCCATTCTGGATCAGCCGGGAGACTCAGTGTCCATAGACTTCATGGACACTCAAGTCAAGAGTAGGCATGGCAAGAGCCAAGTCATGGTCATAGTTGACCGCTTTAGCAAGTACGCCGTTTTTGTTCCTTTGCCTTCAGAGGCACGTACTGATTTAGTCATACAGAGGTTTTTTGACTGTTGGGTTAGTGAGAATGGAATCCCACTGTCTATAGTTAGCGATAGAGAGAGTCGCTTTACTAGCCAGAACTGGCAAGAACTCATGGGAGTATATGGATCTAAGTTGTTGATGTCGTCCGACCGTCATCCAGAGACTAATGGTCAGACAGAGCAAATGAACACGATCCTACAGCAAGTTCTGCGCATGTACATTAGGCCAGATCAGATTAACTGGGACGAGATGTTGCCTAAAGTAGCTAGTGCGTATAATAACAACGTGCATTTGTCCACCTGCCGCACTCCCAATGAACTGCACAAGTCCTTTAGACCGCGCAGACCGTTTGAAGGACTCAACCGGGATCAGATTCACAGACTACGACCCGGGACCAGGGAGTTTGCTGTACAGCACGAGAAGGAACTAGCTACTGTCGTAGAAAACCTCAGGAAAGCCCAGCAAAGGATGATAGAGCAAGCGAACAAACATCGTCGCCCGTCACAGTTTCAAGTAGGCGACTTAGTCTGGGTCAGTTCTAAAGAGTTTGCGCTTGAGGAGAACATCTCGCAGAAGTTATTGCCCACATATTGAGGACCGTGGCCTGTTCTGGAAGTCAAGGGCGGCGAAGATGGACCGTCCTATACAATAGAACTCCCAGCACACCTCCACACGTACCCAGTCTTCCACGCATCGAAGTTGCTACCTTGTCAAACAAGTGATCAGTTTCCATCCCGTAGATCAATGATCCCACCGGATATGGATGGAAGATATGACATAGATGGTATAGTAGCTGAAGATGTCTTCAGAACTGGAGGTAGGGGTCGTCCGCAGAAACAGTACAAGGTTCATTTTAGTTATCAGGAACCGGAAGACGACCGCTGGTTTACAAGATCTGAACTTCTAGAGACAGCTCCCGATATAGTCCGGGCCTACGAGCGACAGCAGAAGGGTAAAGGTCCTGCCTTGGACTGAAATTTTCTCGGAGGACCTCGAATTTAGGCCGGCGGGAGTGAAACGGTATTCACCAGTTCGCAGTAGCGAATGCAGATCCCAGGGCTCGATCCCTAGTTCCCCGTCTTACCTGTGTACAGTATCAGTGTCAACCCGTAGACTTGAACCCGCGACCTGTAGGAACGCCAGTGATAGGTAGATTTTCGTAGGTCACAGGGTAGAAGGGAATTGAACTGTAGACCTGTAGTGTAGGAGTCTAGACAGTTCCGAAGTCGTAGTTGTAGGATGTCTGAAGGGTCAAGGTCGTAGCTGCTACTTACCTGAAAGGGCAAAGTCGTAGCTGCTACAGTACCAAAGGCCAAGTTAGAGAGTTCTGGAAGTGGCCTTTCGGAGTTAGCCTGCGTTCAGCAGAGGCAAGTGGTCAAGTGGTGGTAGTCCACCTAGCACAGTCAGCAGTCCCAGTAACCCAGTCCGGTCCAGTCAAGCAAGTACCGTCTGGGACTGTGCACATCGTGGGCCAAGGGATACAGGGCAGACCAACGCAGCATAGAAGTATAAATCAAGAGGCTGCGCCCAGCCATTCATTCATTCCTGCGGATGCCATGCGGAAGTG